AATATATTAGGTTTATTGCTTTCAATTTACTTTTCTACATCTAAAATTATAAAACCCCCCATATTTCCTAGTTTTTTTACATTGAAAAGAAAGATTTGAAACAAAATCAAGCAATTCTTCTCAGAATTCGACCTAGGTCAAACCCTAGTACTGCATTACTTTTATTACAAAATTGTTTGATGAAATCTAAGTGACAAGATTAACTTCATCAAAGTAATCGGTGGAACCCTCACGCCCATGAAAAACGTTGTCCATGGCACCACAACGATGAAGGGTAACCATAGTATCTAGGGCACCATCCGATATCAAATCTTGATATTCGATATACGACTTTAATAGGCTCGACAATTGGTATTTGGAGTAATAGCTATGAACATGATGGTCCACCCATTCGTAACCTGCACGCTCCGATAAGTCATTGGTAGCCCGGTCGGCGTCGGTACCCTCTATCGCATTACTAGGAGATTGACGCCCCTCGATAACAACTAGGTTTTCAGTTGCAGCTGCCATTGAATCAGAAAAGGCGTTCTCTACACTGTCCCCCTTTAGACGATCGACTGGCACACCCTCTACCCACATCGATGAGCCACCCGAAGACTTCTTAGAGCAAGATGAAGAAGAGAGGAAAGAGTAAGAAGACCGAGAACTATCAGAAACAAAAGAGAGGAAGCAAATAGAAAAGACAGAGTACTTAATAGAGCAATTTGACATAAGCAATGAAACATGAGAAATGCCCCACAACCATCCCATTATATAAGAATGAGCATGTAAAACGAGGCACTTTCTCCCGCGACCATTGGATCTTGTGCAGACCAACAGTGGAGATCTAACGAGAATAGTTGAGCACGAGAATTTTGAAAAAATTCCCTCCCCTTTTTTCTCACACCCCATCCCCCCTATGAGGCAATCAGACACTTATTGAACGACACTAAAATCATGTGTTGGTAACGCGATAGGTCCGAGAACAAGCTCTTCGCCTCATCATAATCCAGACACTTAACAACTTGAGTTTTGGGGGCATATGTACTCTCAGCATAGTCCCACCTTAGGAAGTCCCGGGTTCTATCACTCAGTCAGTCATATAAGTATTACAAAGTGGTAGGAAGACAAGGTGATTTTTAGTTCACCCTATCATGAAGTCACTAATTATATCCATTACTAACTTGGGTTTCATAATATTTTTATAAGTATCCCTCACTTCCAGCTTCCTCACTCCCTGTCTCAGAAGCTGAGTACTGAGAGTCAGAGCCGAGGACTATAAGACAAACGCCAAAAAAAAAAAATACTATTCATAGAGAAGACAAATTTGTGTTCGACCCTATAATAACATCAACAATTTTTTTCCTTATAGGTAACACTTTTTCTTTATATGCAAAGCTTGAAGTAGACATGCACGGTATTATTATTGTTTACAATAGAGGTTAACATCACCTTTAGATCAAAACTGATTTTACTATGGCTGTAATTGTTTTTCACAATGTTGATGTGGTTCCTAGGAGAATTAGGGTAATTGGTAGAAGTTCTTAGATTTATGTAAAAGAATGAATGTACATATTTCTTATATTTTAAAGACAGGTAATAAGCAGTGGCGGATCTTCTTGGGAGCTGAGGGGGCCGTGACCCCCGCAAAATTTTGTAACTCCCATGTAATTTATGATTTTGGCCCCCTCTAAACATAATGAACATTTAATATATTTACTTGTATATTTACAATTTTATCCTCTCAGCCCCTCTTCAGTTTTGTAACTCTCATATAATTTATGATTTTGTTTCCCTCGAACTTAATGATCATTTAATATATTTAAGTATATATCTACAATTTTATCTTTTCACCCTTTCATCTTCTTTCTTCCTTATATATTTATTAATAATATATTATTTGGTCTCCCTAATATCAATGGTCAAGATCCACCACTGATAATAAGTGTGTGGATAAATTAATTATTCTTACAATGCTAATAACCTAAAGTTTCATTAGAATCATTCCATGACTAGATCTCTTAATCTTTATTTTTTCTGGAATCGGTACTTTTTATCGAAACATAGATTCTCTAAAACATCATCAGTTTTGGTGTGATCTCCGTGTTTTTCTTATATTTTGCTTTTGATTTCGGATATCATGTTTCATTTTGATCAAAATGAGAAAATATTAAAAATATATATATATATATATATATATATATATATATATATATATATATATATATATATATATAAACATAGATAAAATGTATTTACAAGAAGTACATACATATTTAGGAATGGATTTTTATTTTCTTTCTCCAATTAAACCACCTAACCCTTAATATATTATACATTTTATTTTACAATATGATAACAAGGTGATGTTATAATCTTTCATCATAAGCATGAAAGGATTTCGAGTTTCACCGTATCAATAGAAGGGAATTCTTGATGATGAAAAACCACATGTGTATCGTTTGATAAATAATTATAAGATACTTCTAATATCAAATAAGTTCTTACATCTGTTTCATAATTACTTATACAAAATATTGGATATAATAACAATAATCTCAACAGCCTGTGAGATATCATTAGCATATGCTGGGAGTAAAGAGGTGTCATTATAAGGAGTGTCAATTGGTGACTCTCCATCAATACATAGGTCAATGTGTGTTCGAATTCCAGACGCAACAACATTCAAGTCCTGGTAATCTCCAGATTTTAATATCTCTTGAGTGGACTCAACTTTACCCATTGCACCCTTATGAATTTGATTCAAACATATTGTATAATGATCTCTTGCCTCAAGGTTAGTAGGATTTCTTCGAATCAACCTCTTGATTAGTTTGGTTGTGATAGTGATATTCGCACGTGTTACATCAAGGGCATATTGGGCAAGATCAACAAGGTCTGCACCCATTGTTCCACCAGGCCTGGAATTGAGAAGATTGAAACAAAATTTTGGGTCTTGAGTTTTCTTGCAAATAAGATCAAGTTCTGCAACTTGGACTGCAGAGGATGAAGCAACAAATAAAAATAACAGTACTAAGGATAAGTTACGAGCCATTATCCACTATCTTATTTCCTTTTTCTTTGTTTTCTTGTCGTGCACTTGTTTTTGTATGAATTATTCGATGGTTCCCGATTGAAACCATTGGTATATATAGGCTTATTTCAAAAACTTCAACGTAAAGGAGTTGTTTTTTTGGTTATATTTCGGGTGAAGCAACTTCTAAAAATGTTTGATACACCTAACATTTCACAAATTTATTTATTTTGTTGTTAACATGTCGATATAAATATATAGAAGATGTTTAATAATCTAACTAAAGTAAAGAATTGTTTTTTGGTTTGCGAAATTCGTCTACTTTTATATATAGATTAGACTAATTATCATTTCTTAATTTTTATTTTTCATTTTTATATTCATTATTTTTTTTTCTTAAATACTAATGATGCCGACCTATTAATCATAACACGTTCAAGAATCAAGGAAAAAAATTGAAAAATAAATAAAGGAATAAAAACATTATTTTTCCCTAATGTAAAATTGAATTGATTAATACATAAATATAAATGATCGGGTAAATAAATTTATGTGATACTCATTTCCTCTCCCAAGTAAAAAAAAAAAAAAACTAAACCCAAATAGAATAGTTCTTATTTTGTTAAAATAATTTTTTTTTAGGTGAAAATTTTATTTTAAAAATCTAAATCATGATATATATACTTTTATATATAAAATTATGTTTGAGTTTAAATTTTTCATAATAATGTAGTATTTATCTGAGCATAGTATCTAATTCAAGATATGTATATTTTCATCCCAAAAAAATGAACATAGGAGTTTTAGTTTAAATCAGCGATATGAATTGAACATAGTATATTCAAGATAAACCAGATATATATGTAATTAAAACTTCTAAACAATCATAAAGTTAGATCTTTTGGGTACTGCTCTTTGTTAAACATAGTATATCATTGGCAAAAATAATTCAAAGAAAAGCATTTTTTCGTGGAGTAGGAGGAACAGGGAGCACCAACCATTGCATGGCACGTGGACATTGAAACAAAGTGAAACCAATGAGTGATCTTGGTTTTGCATCATCATCATCATCATCATCCACAGAGCTTACGAGGGATTTGTTTGTTCATCTCAACCAAGCAATAACGATAAAGAAGTTTATGGTTATGGAGGCCTCAGCATCCATTTGCAACAACAGCATAGGATTACCATTCATCTTCTCTTTCTCTTCTGCCATTACACACAAATCTGCTACTTTCTCACCTATGCTTGTCAAGTCCATGGCCACTCCCAAGCCACTTCCTCCAGTCTCCAGAACTGTAGGCTCTAGAAAGGTCAGTGAAACACACACGTATAAACACAATCTTTGTTTTTTTTTTTTTGTTCTAATGGATTGCTGTAACAGTGGCCATTATATACTATGTTATGTCTTTTATTTTACTACCGATAGAATGAAAAGGGTGTGAGTTTATCTGGTTTTGAACCAAAAATTAGAAAGAAAGAAAGAAAGAAAGAAAGAAACGGTTTGTGATGATTACTAGCTCTTAATATTTTGTAAGGTCAGTGTAAATATATGTCTATATATATCTATACATGTTTCAAAGTTGCTCACACAGTTATTCCTTTTGTTCAAATGATTTGTGTGTGAAACTGAAACATGTCTCTATGTTCGAATTTGAGCCGAAAATTGCAATAGAAAAAACATTAATTGGTTACTAGTTTTTAATATGTCTATATGTCTATACGAAGAGAGAAACCTATCTCCATTGTTTAATTAACCACTTAAAAAAAAGGAAAGAAAAGGCTCTGTTGTGAACCAAAAATTACATTAAAAAAATTGTAATGGTTATCAGCTCTTAAAACGCTATAGGACTAGTTGACAAAAAAATTGACTCTATTCACTTATGAATTCACTGAGAGTAAATAACAAATCTTAATTGTTGATGGAAAAGTTTGATGGTTGATATTGTAATATATGCATAGTCTGTTATGCATGTATATGTATTATGATCTTGTTGTTAACAATTGAGATTTGTTACTTAATCCTCTAAAGTGAAATTTTCGCTAGAGAAGTCAAATCCTTGATGATACTTTCCATTATATGAAGGAACACCAGGTTTAAAGGCATCATGGCATGAAATACCTGAGCATGTTTTCTTTTTGTTATCTGGGTAACCAAATGTTTTGTTAGCATAATGACTGAGCCAAGTGCACATTGCAGAACTCAACTGTGTTCCCACTTGGAGAACAACCTAGGAGCAGTCCTGTGACAGCCACTCCTCCCATAAAACTTCTGACAAGGATGGAGCAGCTGAAGCTGCTGAGCAAAGCAGAGAAAGCAGGGCTGCTATCTACAGCAGAGAATTTTGGGTTCTCCCTCTCAGCAATAGAGCGGCTGGGACTCCTCTCAAAGGCAGAAGAGTTGGGTGTGCTATCTGCTGCCACTGATCCGGGAACTCCAGGGACTCTCTTGACCCTCAGCTTGGGGTTGCTGCTCCTAGGACCATTGTTTGTATACCTGGTTCCTGAGGACAACTTGGGGGAAGTGGGTTTGCAGGTTCTAGTTGCCTTCATCACTGTACTTGGGGGTTCTGCTGGTTTTGCTGCATCAAATTTTGTATCCAACTTGCAGAAATTGAAATAAATTTCAGAACAGTTAAATTTCTCTTCAGGTCTTTTTGTGAGATCTTAGAGTATGCTTTCTCTCCTAGTATTTTTTCCTCCACACTGCTTCTTTCAAGCATTTTTGCTTCACTGATGTTGTTACAACCAATTGTGTTTATGGTTTTTTAGTAGGTTTTAAGTCTCAGTAAAAGAGGAAGACTGTGTTGGGACTTTTAAAGCGAATATGAAACATGTTCATGAATGAAACAGGCATCACTCAAGATATTTTTATCTAAATCAAATGGGTCGTGCAATTTTCAACTTCACAAACTTTTGTTGTAACTAATGATAATGTTGTTAACAGTTCTGTTGTAGTTACAAATTGTGAATGCATCTGATAATTATCATAATTGTGAAATCGTGGCAAAATTGCAATTAAGAAGCATGAGTATGATATATGACACGGAAGTCCTACGACTAAAGATAAATGGATGTTGCAAATTAAAGACAATTTATTTTGAAAATAGGATCGAATAGGTCATTGGGTGAGTATAAGGGATCAATCTAGAAATAAGTTTATTATTTTTAAATAATTGAATTTTAATTAAACAGATACAAACTAAAAAAATCAATTGGTAATTTGTATCAGTTTTAGTAAAATATTAAAATCAAAATTTTTTTAATATAATTTTTTATGAAAAATATAAGATATAATATATTTTTATTTTTTTTATTTTTATTTTTTTAACTTATATTAACTTTAAATAATCATCTTACTCTAACTATTATTTATTATAGAATCGCAATAATAATCTTTTTTTATTGTTATTATTATTTAAAATATTATTACTAATGAATTTATTATATACTTATATTTATTATATCATAAAAATATTATTTTATTAAATTTAGTTAGATTTTGATTAAACCTTATAAAACTTTTAGACGTCTTCACCCATAATCGGTTTAAAAAACATTGAATTTATTATATACTAATGAATTTATTAAAAAACCTTATAAAATATTATTACTAATGAATTTATTATATACTTATATTTATTATATCATAAAAATATTATTTTATTAAATTTAGTTAGATTTTGATTAAACCTTATAAAACTTTTAGACGTCTTCACCCATAATCGGTTTAAAAAACATTGAATGTAACATAATAAAAACAAACTAATACAAAATAATATCACATATCAAGAAAAAAAAAGAGTAAAAAATAGTTTGTTAAGTATTAATTATTTGAGAAACCTACCCTACAAGAATCATATACTTGAATATTTTATTATTTCCTATCACTTGATGTAGGACTCTATTTTTTATAAAGATTTTCTATGAACTTAAATTTTGTAATTAGATTTGTAAACTTAATTAGAGTTCAGATAAGCCGACTCCAACTATATTAATTAGGGCTTATATATTCGTTGAGCTCTTATTAGGAGGATCGAGTTCATTTTATTAGTTGCTCTAATTTGAGACTTAATAAAAATTGTCTTTTTATATTCTATTTTCTATATTCTTCGTTCTTTATTAATAAAAACCTAAATCTTGAGGTTTAATCCATGGAACAAAGATCATATAATTCAAATCACTATTAGAAAAATAGTTTTTTTCTGCCAATTTTTTTGCAAAAAATTGTTTAAATTTATAGAAAACTTATTTCTTGTCATTTTTACCAAAATTTTGCAAAAATATTTTCATGAAAAATGAGAATTTTTAGTAGTGAATTGAGTTTTAGATTGATAGTTTAATTGTTTAAGTTTGTTCTTCTTCTGTCTAAATTTAAATTTGAATTTTATGATAATAATTTATGTTTTATTTATAAAATTTAAAATAGGAATTGATTGAATCTTAATTTGATGATTAGATATAGATTATATTTAATTTAATTCATAATTTTGGTTCAATAGGTTTTTTCAATTTAATTAACTAATTGAATCGGTTTTAAATGTTCAAATTTGAGTATGCATCTTTAGAAAACTATAATATAAGGAATTGTATGAATTTTGAATTTGTGGATTGATATTAATTTTATTGTGCTCTTCAATTTATTCTTGGATTTTAATTCTTGCATCTAGATCAAAATCCTCAAATTAATTTGAAGTAAATTGAAGATTGAATGTAGTTGATATGTCTCCTTGCGAATCAAGTGTAGGTTTTGCTTTATATTACAAATTTTACAAAAAACATAAATACTTTGATTGAATGACATTGAATATCATTTAGTCATTTGAATTTCATTTAGCGAATGAGAGGCAAAAAAAAAACTATTTATTGAAAAGAGTACTTTGCTCAATGAAATATGTGACTCAGCGAGTCAATAATTTTTTTTTAGGACAATAAGTAGAAGTTGTCAATTTTGTTTGTATATAGAATATAAAATGTATGTATATATAATGATTAACTTATTGGTGTAAATAAGTGCCATGTATAAATTTCTCCTTGACTCCAAGATTCAATTTTGCATTTATATTTGCACTTCCTCCATTTTATTCCGCGATTTTGGATGGAGGATTGGACCTTTAAGAAACCAAACACCTCTCGGGTACCGTGTCGTAACATCCTAACAATAGTAAAAATTATTTTTAATTAGACCTTATCTATTAATGAAATTTAAATAATAAATTCAATCATAATGAGTATGTGTCTATCAAGCCCATAACTATAAAATAGTAAAGTTAAAATAATAATTCCTCATTACTATTTCTAGCGCATCAATGTGAGTAAGAGGAGGAGGAAATTTCTATTTTCTACCCCTAACGTCTAGGCATCCCAAGCCACATAAGCTTAATGTAAAGCTGTAGGGCAACAAAAAACAACTTAAAGATTAGACTTTTGGGGGGCTCAACATCTAGTACCTTCCTTTAGTAGATGTAGGAGATCCAATGGGTGTAACTAGTTTCTTTGCCTTTTTAACATCCTAAACATATCGGTAAAAGAATATTAACATACAATTAAATTTTAAATCATATTAAAATGCCGTTGTTTATATATTTATATATTTATAAATTTATATATTTATATATTTATAAATTTATATATTTATAAATTTATATATTGATATATTTATATATTTATATATTTATATATTTATATATTTATATATTTATATATTTATATATTGATATATTTATATATTTATATATTTATATATTTATATATTTATCTATTTATATATTTATATATTTATTTATATCTTTATACATTTATATATTTATATATTTAAGAAAAATTAAAAATTAAAATATTAAATTTTAAAATAATATTTTATTTTTAAAAACAAATATTAGAAAAAGGTTTTAAAATATATATAAATTATATTTACATGTACAAAATATTAAAGATATATATTTATATCTTTACATGTTTATATATTTATAAATTTATAAATTTATATTTTTATATATTTATATCTTTATATATTTATATCTTTATGTATTTATATCTTTATATATTTATTTATATCTTTATACATTTATATCTTGATATATTTAAATATTTATATATTTAAGAAAAAGTTTAAAATATAAATTTATACACAATAAAAGTAAATTATAAATATTATAATATAATAGTATATTAGTATAGTATAGTATATTTGCATTCTAATTTTTAATTAAACTAAAATTACGCTAATAATGTATAATAATATATGAGGGGATAATAAATTTAATCTAATTACTTATATATATATATATATATATATATATATATATATATATATATATATATATATCCTTTTTTAATTTTTTTTAACTTCTCACATTCTACATTGTTTTTAAACTCTATCATTTTTACTATATTATCATCATCATTTCCTTCCATATTCTATTTTATCTTTATAATAATTAGTCTTCTTTTATAGAATACTTTATGTTCTATTTTTATTATTTATTTTCTTATAATTTAAAATAATTAATATTATTTTAACATTATTTTTATGATTTTTACTATAATAAATCAAATTAAATGGTTCGATAATATCAATTAATTAAAATCATCACGTAAAAAACTTAGATAACTACATTAAAATTATTAATTTTAAAAATATAAAATATATTAAAAAAAACTCAAATTATAGATTGGAAATAAAACAGAATAAACAAATACTATTTACTTTATATTATATTTAAATGTGTGCACAAATGTTGATCTTCTTAACTACAAAGAAACAAGTAGAAAAATATAAAGATAGTATTTGAAGAAGTGAATTTTGAAGATAAAGACTATTTTTATATAAATTTATTCTAGTATATCAATTAACAATAATAATACATAAAATTTAAAAACTAAACTAAAAAAAGTAAGTTTAAATTTATAAAAAAAATACATTACTAAAAGTATTATATTATATTAAGATTTTAATTATTTTCGTTAATTATAAAATTAAATGTGTTTCATAAATAAAATTATAAATTTAAATGTATTTCCACTTTTGATCCATCATAAATAAAAATAAATAGTCTCTTATAAATGTTGTTCTATTTTAATCCATCATTAAATTTGTTTTATATACGAATTTGATGACTTATCATATTATTAAAAATTTGGATGAAATAATTATGTATAATACTTTTTTAGTATATTATGTTTTTAAATTTGCTAATAGAGAAAAAGTTTCAGAATTCAAAATGTTAAATACTTTTAAATATTAAAATTGACTTTATAAAAAATTAGGAAAAAAACAATTAATCCAAAAATATAATAATGATAAAAATATTATAAAAAAAAGTTCAAAAATGTATTATAATATTTTCAGTTTTAGTTTTATTATATTTTTAATTCTCAAAGTAGAAAAATATATTGTAATTATTTTAATTTAATAAAATATAATTTAAATTTTTAATACTAAAATTAAAATATTAAATAATAATAAATTTAATTCTTTAAATTTAGTATTTAGAAACTAAAATTATAGTTTCTCTGTTTTAAAAAATTAAAATAAATATTTAAAAATAAAAATAAAAAACTAGTATTATCTTAAATTTATTAAAAGTATAATTAAATCTCTATTTTCTTATGCAATTTTAG